TATATATATATATATATATATATATATATAGCTAGATAGATAGATAGATAGATAGCAGTTTGTAATGAAAAAATGAAGTTTAAATAAATAGCACATACAGTGTTAATATGTTCTTGAACAAAATCCACTAGTTGTTGACTTGTCATGCAGTCCCTGTCAGAAAAGAAAGAATACTCTTAGAACTAACATTAAAATAAATGTAGTTTTCATTTCCCAATGAATAGACTGAGGTCACTAATCAACCGAATTGATAAGTCCTTAGCTGGTTTGATATTAATAAATGTATTAAAAGAAATCGTAACCTTATTGAGGCTTTCAGAATGCATTAACGTAAAAAAAAATCAATGAGATAAAAAAAATTATATCTTTGATATTCGAATATACAATGTAACACATCTCCCTTTACTCTTTGAGAATGTTATATTCATAAGAGCTGTATCATTTGTTATCCACGTTTAGCCTCATAAAATCAACAAGCATTCAATTAGCAGAACTTTTGGCTTTACAAATATTAACTAATTAGAATTAAGAAGAATTGCTAAAAATAGTTAACAACAAATCAATTACAAAATTAGTATAACTTATGGCCCAAATTGATACTGCTTTATGGAATTCAAAATAAAGCAGTTGCAGAAGATCAATGACACCTCTTAATCATGACATGCACAAACAGATTTTTCATGTATGGTAACACCTATTATACTTTACAACAACTAAGAAGAGCAATGTAAAATAATTAGGCTCCATAAAAATTGGACGTGAAAAGTGTACTCAAATGCAAAAAGGTACAATTGCATGAGAAGCCATACCAGATTCCATCACAAGCTAAAACAATAAATTCGTCATCATTGCTAAGCTCCACCTTTTAAAAGATGTAATTATATGAGAAAAGTTATAATTTCAAGATAATAAAAGAAGGATGTAATGCAAAATTTACTACCGGGCATGGTACTCACAATATTAACATCAGGATAGGCCGATACAATTTGCTTTTCTGCAGGTAAGAACTTGTTTTGCTTAAACTCCATATCACCTGCACTACAATCAAATGGGATATCAGATACAGAAATAATGTCAGGTGATTGGAAGTAACAATAGAAGCGTAAGATACCAATTGCTCTTGCTAGGTTTAAACTTCCATTTACTCTTCCTGCATGAATAAACCCTCCTGCTTTTAAAATCCTATCTCTCTCAGCCTCGAGTTCTGGCTTGTGATCCCTAGATAAATTGAAAGCCTGGACACAGTATGAATGAAACAATGCGAGGGCGAGAGAGAAAGACAGAGATAATGGTATGCAAACCAGATGGCCTCAAAATAAGCGCAGAACAAAAATTTACAATAGGTTGCCTGAATAACACACCTGGCCCTTCCTTGAAATAACACAGCGAGAATCACCAGCATTTGCAACAACAAGCTGGTTATGTCTTATAATAGCGACACATGCAGTGCTTCCAGACGTTGGCCCACTGAAATCTGAGTGAGGACCCTGAACACAATGATTAGAGCCATTAATGAACATATATAGAAGTACATTTAATTTGGCGGAGCAAACAAATTTGCTATGAGGTATAATTACAAAATTTAAAATACATAATTTTAGTAATAAAGACAAATTTATCTGAATACCATCTTTGATAGGAATAAGCTCAACATTTTGTTGTAAATTACATTATATGGATCAAGGAAAAATCAAATTTTGAACCGTATGCTAAATTTAACCTAAACTCCTATGAAAAGAAAATAGGAAAATTGAGATTTTTTCTTGAGAAGACAAATTGCACGAGGGAATGAGAAAAAGAGGAGAGATGTGAGAAATAGGAATAAAATAAGAGAGAAAAGCATAGAAAAAAAAAACAAATAGAAAAATAAAAATAAAGATGAGCTCATAAAAGAATTAAGGGAAAATTGCATTGTTCTTTTGTTTGTGGATGTGCATTACCTCAACATGGCACAAGAACAGTGATGCCGTACGCAAACATGGAGTGCCAAGATTTATGTAGTTGTGCCAAAAAAAATTTTAATAATTCCAAAAAAACTGTTGTTGTGAATTGGAATACAACTCAAAGTTTTTAATATAATCTCTTCCAAGTTTCTTCATTGTTTGGTCCTTAACTATTTTCCTCTTCTGAATCACATTGTCAAAGGTGTAACCAAAGATTCCTATTTAAAATCCCAGATAAGGAGTACATTCAAATCTATACAATCCAAGAAAACAGGACTAAAAGCAAAAAGAACTTACTACTCTATGCCCATGTGAAAGTTTTTTGGCTCTAATGTTTGTTTAGAACTTAGAAGTGGGTTGCATTTATACAATGCCAAACTGATTAGTTTCTATTTTACATTGGGATTGTAATTGCAGCTTAGCCACACCCGGTCTATCAAGTTATGGCAGCTTGCATATTATCTTTTTAACATTGAATTACCGGTTGTCTGCTGTTTCCCTTTCAAGTGCATTATAATTGTCTGAGACAATATATTTCAAGAGGATCTTCAAAAAAAATCATTTTCTACAATTCCAATAAAAAATTTAATCCATTTAAAATCAAAATTGCATGGTCTTCAAACCACTTTTTAATTATAAATGCTCCCTTAAAGACAATTTGAGAGTATATGTAATGTAAATCTTTTATCAGCATTTTGACTAAATGATTCATTGACCATGAAATGACTAATTTATTTTATGTAAGCATAATTATGATACACAACAATGCACCCTTAATGTCTAATTCCTTCAGATTACGATACATAATTATGAAAGCATTCATATCCCATGGGATACACTTACTCCATTACATTGCCTAATGACATTATTTAATCAAAATTGCCTCAGAGATTGCCTAGAAATATGTTTAGAAAGTGGAAATCTTTATCTGAACAGGTTTGTAATGCTAGTTAAGTAGTTTAACTCACGTAGTCAAACGGTCCAATGCATGCATCTCCTTATACTATATGGATTATAAGCCTTATACTCCTTGTACCTCAATCAATATTTGACATTGCACGTGATCTTGTTGTATTATCTCCAAGGAAAGAATGGAACTGATGATAGACTGAAAGATAATTGTTTGATAAAAGGTTTACCTCTTCAAAAGCCCAGTTATCATCATGGCCATTTGAATCGCCGCCCTTTGGAGACCATATCAAACCTTCTATCATACCAGTAAACTTATTTATCTTGTCTCCGAGTACAGCTAATTCTCTCCATCCTCGTTGGCCTCTCATCATCTCATCCATCCTAAGTGATAGAAAACAAAAATGGCAGCAAAGAACTTTTTATAAAACCTAGAAGCATCAGTGTCCTCCATGAAAGAACTAATAAGCATTAAATCATCAAGAAAAATGACGCACCTCAAGAAAGCTTTCTGAACAGATGCGCCTAAATCTCCAGTAGAAGAGGCTTCACTCTTAAGTACTTGAGTGTGCAGGTATTTAGCACAGAACTTCGCAACTACCTTTCCTAATATGGCATGTGAACACATTACCAAGCCAACAGTAACAGCTCACACTTAACTTGCAACAGAAATACATTACAAGAAAAAATGTAACAGATCATGTTAAAAATAGCAACAGCTTTAACCGGTAAGAAAACAATCAAAAAGGCAAAACAGCATCAGACTTGAATACTATTTTTTGTTATCGTGGAGCATAAGTGATTTTGGAATTGTATATGTATTGTCCACAGAAAAAACTGATATTTTCTGTTAAAATGATGATTTGATGGCATTGTATACCCTGATCCAGCCCCTTAGTCAACAAGCTATCTCACAGTGCCAGTAAATTGAAAGTTGCAAAGTCTGCTGGGTAAGCCAAGTCTATTAACTCTAAATGGAGCTCACAAGCTGCTTCCATACCAAAGAATTTCGTAGTTAAATTCTGTCACCATCCATCAATATAAAAAACCAAATATCATTCTATGCATTTTAAATTGTCATCAATACCGAAGTAAATATAGATATTTAGGGTACATAATAGTAATCCAGTCTTCAAATTGAGAATTTGAACCAATCCATTTTTCTCTTAAATTTGACAGTGAAGGGGGAGTAACAGTCATAAATCTGGCTTCTTTCAAGTTCCTCACCTCCAAATAATATGATCTCGGTATTCCCACATACATTTGAACTTTTTTAATGAGAAGTTCTCAGATCAAATGATAATATTATATTTAGTTCCCCATCATATAGGCTAAAAATATATTTATATAGAAACATTGGGTGGTTGACACTCACCTATAGGCATCAGTATTTAAGTTAAAAATGGGTTTGACTACTGATTAAACCCAGCATTGGACTCCTTTTTGGTCAATATTTCCTAAAAAGGAACAATATATTATTAAGCCACTTTTCCAATAGTAGTGTCCTTATACAACTCAAATTTGATACATATCTCTACTTTTTAGGAACTTGGTAAAAGCACAGAAATTTACAGACTGAAGAAGGCCAACACTTGGCAAAAGAGAAAAAAAAAATGAACTAGGAAAAAAATACCACACTTCGTCAAGCTCTCAAGATAAATAATCAAAAATATTTGCAGAGTCAATATTAGATAGGCAACATTATATTTGCTCATCAGATCTTGATAAGGCAAAAGTTCAATCAAATAAAGAACAAACATGGCTATAAATGTTAAAACTCTATTTTTCACATGTGATCTGTTTATTGCCAATGTGAAAACATATAAAATGTGTACTTTCAAAGTCATGAATCAACATATGTAATCATAATTACCTTCCCTTTTTCTTAATAATTTAGGGTTAAAATATCAATCCTCTCATTTTGCTAATACAGGACTCATTTGTGCAACTTTATTCTAAATATATCCTATTAAATATATTCAACTATCTCAAAGCACCCTCATATATTAAAAGATATATATTTTACTAATCCACATCAATTTAGGAGTCCTAGTGAAGATGACAAATCATTATAAAATGAGAATCTATTCCATCTTAGAGAAGTATCAATCAACGTTATTAAAAGTTTGGTTTATAAGAGAAATAAAGTGATGCGCTGATCCTACGCATCCCTTGCTTATGATACGCAAGTTTACAACAAAAGCATGTACTGCACCCAATGTTTTAAAAAGTGTGGGCATTGGGCGAGGCGTTTTAGCTGTTATGAGGAGAGGAATAAGCCCCGGGGCATCGAGCGTAAGTCGAGAAAAAAATAAACTATTTGTGCATAATAAAAAAAATTATAGCTAGAGTGATCTCTAGCAAATCTTTAATATGAAAGGGAAAAAAACAAATTTACGGTTCACTACAGCAGCTACACTGAAATTTCTGTAGCTACAGTAAACTCACTGTAGCCACAGTGAGTTTACAATAAAAAACTTATAAAACAATAAAAATTGTAAGACTGTAAAAAATATATACCACAGAGGCAGCCGAAGACAATGCATGTGCGGGATAGGGAGAGAAGAGACGCTGCGAGCAGAAGATGATTCGAGCAGGACGAAGAAGGCCAACCTGCCAAAGAGGAATCGGAAGACGAAGTTGAAGCAAACAGGCAGACAGGCCTAAGTGAGGGATGAAGCAGGCGAGCTTGCATGCAGGACGAAGTAGACGAGCCCGCTGGGGAATTAAGTGCGTATGAAGGTGCAAGGGACGAAGCAGATGGCGGAGGGATCTTATGCGGCTCTGCGTATGATGGAGGAAGCAGAGGGCTGCGATGGGTGTAGGAGAAGCTTGACTCGGTGTGAATCGAATAGGTATGTAAAATAGGTAAAAAAATTTTCCGTTTTATCCGACTATGAGGTGGGGCTACGCCCCGTGAGGCGCGAATTGAGCTCTAGATTTACTAGGGCGTAAGCCCCGCGAGATCTGAGCCCCCCACTATTTCCCACATTACATATAGCATTGGACGAGTAAGTCCAGAGTAATTTTTATATTTAATCACACCAAGTAATCACTTTTTGCCATATGCATTGGTTTAGATTTACCCCTCACCCGAAAAAAGTCTTTTAAAACATAGATTGCACCATTTCACTACATTGCATATAGCATTGGATGTTCAGCTCTAATTCAAATCAAACCATTGATTTAGATTTGTAGTTTAATTAAGCATCTACTATACTAAACTAAGCATGAGTTTTGGTTTCTCCTCGCTATTTCTCATAATCATTAAGCCATTGCTTATTAATTCATCATTCTTTATAGCTTGAGAGTCGCTTCTCGGTGGTGGTCCTCTTCACTATGTTGCTCTCTTTTTTCTCATACACTTACTAGTTCTTATTGTTGCCGCTAGTAGCTTCTCGTACACACTTTCTCAAGAATGCTTCTCAACGTCTCATCTTCACAATTTCCCTCACCATGTGCTTCCTTTATCTCTCAATCTATAGTTAATCACTTAATCTTGTGAATATTCTTAATTTGAAGCATTTTTTTATCACTTCATTATTTCTATATTTGATTTCTTTTATTTTGGATAGCTAAAAAATTAATATTGGTAAACCTATTGTTATATGCATTTTTAAAATGGGCTAATTAAATTTATCTTATATGCACATGATTAATGTATAAATTATATACAAATCACGAATGCCAAAATTAGTTAAAGTGCTACTTGCCTTAATGCTTTACGTATTGAAGTAAAAAAGAACATCCGCATAAACGGTTTGAAAATATTGCAATCAACCTTAATCAATAAAAGCATATCATATGCTTCAAAAAAGGACATGGAATTGCAAATGATTGATAAAAAATGATTTACGATTCTCCAAATAATAATTGTTTGAACTAGAGTAACCAAATCAAATTAGTCACATGAAGCAACACAAGTATGATATCAACCCCAAAAACCTCTATCATGTCATTAGCGCATACAAGTAGAAAATGATAACATGAACACAGAACATCAACGATCAGTTAGGTTTGCAAAAAAGAAGAAATTTTTTGTGAGACGGCCTGAAAAAAGAAAATGCATTCTATTAAATTTAGGTTTATTCTAATTGAAAACAAATTTGCAGAGTTTGAAAATATAACTGTAAAGAAAATGACAAAAAACATTAATTTATGTATTATCGGCAAAGTATTCGCCAGATATAACAAGAAAGCATATACATTAAAACAAATATTAAATCAACATGTAAAGCATAAAGATCAACTGACCTGGCAACAATGAACAAAAGCATACAACTAAGTTGTACAGTACATAAGTAAATGACTGAAGAACGTACCTCCATGTCCATCATACACGCCAAAGAATGATGTCGAACCATTGAGATCGGGAAAAGCAGCGTGCTAAATAGAAAATATTGCAATATAAGAAACAAGAATTAAATATCGTGAAAATACAATAATATGCATGCAAATGTGATAACCGTAACCACTCTGATCCCTAACCAGATGAACCGGACAAGGACACGTACCTTTTCTAGAGATAATTAATTCTTTATATGTACGGCTATTCGTAAGGAAACAATACATAATTATGTCCGCCCTGCAGTCCAGAAGTTTACATGGTATATATGTTCAAATTTGGGTCTGAAAATTGTATTATCCATTAAAATTGTATTATCCATTAGCTCTGGATGCATGTGTCAGACTAATGATCTGCACCTATGCTTTAAACCATTACTGCTGCTGAAAGAAACGGAGCAACAAACGTGTCAGTCATATAACTTTCATCAGACTATGGCGAGGGTTAAGAATTACAAATATTTAGTCAAGTTCTGGTGAATTTTCATTCGGGGAGGAGGTGCTTGTGCAGACAGCCTAAGGTAGTAAGTGAGCAACAATCAAAGAGGCAGGGAATCTGGAGATTTTTTTTCACTGTTTATAATAGTTTCAATCACTTCTACAAACCATCAGGGAAGTGTCCTTACAAGTGGCCCTGACAACAAGTTTCATGGTAAATTGAGCCACTTAATACCTGCATCTCAAGTCTAGCAGTAATATGGGATTTCAGGCGTAATATGTTGCAGATAGATGCATTCACCAACATGCATAAACTCGTTACTGCTGTACTTCTAATCACAATTTAATATATTATTGAAAAATAATTCACAAGTCATCCAATCATGCATATCTACATATATATATATA